TCCTTCCCCTCCCTCTATCTCCACGTGGACTACCAAGCGGGGCTGAGGTGAGCATGCTACCATAAAATGTGGCTGACTCCATTACTTCAATCTCTCTTCTATCTCTCATGCTCTCTATGACTTTACTATAATCTTTATATATATTAACCATACAATTGTGCCTATTGAACCCGCAATTAGTTGTGGGGGGCTGGCATTTTCCCCAAAGCCTGCCAGGTGGTTTGCAGCCTAAAGTATAACCATTACACTACCAAGCCTCCCAGTTGTCACATGGTAAGCCTTAATTCCAGATACCCAGGATTTTTTTTAAAATGATTTATCACATTAACATTACTAACATATTTAAATATTTTGTCCAAGAATTAAGTACTTCTATTTTATAGGCTAAGAAAACTCCTCCCATTTCTGAATGCATGGAAGGAGAAGAAAATATAAAGAGGGCATCAGCTCATTGCTGTCGAGTCGATTAAGACTCAGAGTGGCCCTATAGGACAGAGTAGCACTTCCCCACAAGGTTTCCAAGGCTGTAATCTTTATCAAAGCACACTGTCACATCTGTGTCCCACAGCACGGTTACTAAATGCCGAGTGCTTAACCATTGTGCCACTAGGGCTGATTATTGTTCACATCCTTATTTATAATAGCAAAAGCATTGATAGCCATTACAAAAATATAAAAATAATATGAACACGTTTACCTTAATGATGATTGTATTGAAAGCAGTTTATTTCTCTTTTCTAAGAATAAAGCATGCTATAATACTTATAGTATTTCCTAGTCAGAAAACAATAATGTGGCAGGAAACGTGATATTTCTTTTTGCAGGTAAAATCTACAGCAGAAAGGAAACTATTCAAAACAGACTTAGAAAGGTCAAAGCAAATACATACATTTCAGATCAATGTAACCAGGCCTAGTCTCCCAGCAAATGGCTCCTTAGATGTTGTACACGTGCTCATTTAGAGTCGCTGGACTTCACGATATCCTCGTTCTTCAAATGAAATGTAATGCGCAAATACAGGGATCAGAGCAACCAGCAATTTATCAATTTAAATAATGATTCTTATATAGAAAAAGGCTATTTTTCATGAGTCAAAATTTCTCAATTGCTACAAAAGACGTACTGAACCATAGCCTAGTTTTCCAAATTATACACATTGCTGTTTAGCTTCCATGTCTACTGCTTTGAATATATGTTGGGTATTTTGAACACAATTGTTTTGCATTCCTCTAACAAAGTGGCACAAAAGGAAAGGTAAGGCCATAGAAATTATAGGCAGCAAGTAAAACAACCTAAGGACAGTAAATGCTAACATAAGAAATGTGCATTGCAGAGAATCAATGTGGATTTTCTAGTATTGATTTTCCAGATATTAACACAAAGCTTCAGTTTTACTATGCACAGGCAGAACTCTTTGGACAGCTCATATTCTTCTCAGAGGACCATATTCCTAATGAAAGTCACCTTGCTTCCAAGTTGCATTTTGACTGTCTCAATGTATTCTGTGCCAGGTTTAATGAAAGAGTTCAAAAAGTTCAGAATAAGACCAGGACAAAAGTTTCCATCAGAACTGATGCTCATAAATTTGCTAGAGGTATTGTGATTTGAGATACGGATGTAGGCCCATAATTGAAACGACAGGGTTTTTTGAACCACTGAGCAAAATCGCCGTGTGTGTGTGTGTGTGTGTGTGTGTGTGTGTGTGTGTGTGTGTGTGTGTGTGTGTGAAAAGAGATCTGCAAACACTCCTTGACAGGGATCCATTGCAAAGATTTCTGTAAAGCAAGTTGTCTGCAAAAGTGTGTATACTCACCACGATTGCCTCTTTCTCAAGAAAGAATGTGCAAGTGTGTTTAACCCTCACAAAGCGTGACATACCTTCCAAAATGTTAGCATCCTAGTCAACATTTTCCTGGTCAAGTCTGCATTAGGAATGCTAGAGACTGAGTAATGCCAGTTGCTGATGACCTTGAGAAAGATGATAATAGATGACCTTACTGTATTAACTGTTTTCCTGGTTACTGTTATCGTGACTTGAGTCAGCCGAAACTTTCTTGGCCATCTTTCATTTACCATAATTTTAAGGTTAGCAGATTCTCTCCATTCCTCTGTAAAACATTCCTTCTGATGCCTACTAATGTTTGCTACAAGGAGACAACATTATTATCTTCCCTCTGCCAGCAGCGGTCAAGTACAAATATATATCATGAGACAGTTTTATACATGTGTCAATACATACATACACACAAATAAGATATATAAATGTATAAATAAATAAGATTCATTTTAATTCAAATCAACCTTTAGTAGAATTAGATATTACATACTGAATAAATATGAGAACAAGGAGAAGTTTGCTTACTCTGTGAAAGTTATGCTTAATACATTAAGAAATTTTTCATCAAGTCAAATACTAAAAATAGTATATCAAATTAAATATAAGGGAAGACACTACAAAGTGTTATGGAAAACATTGTAAAAATCTAAAAGAATATTTCTTCATATTGCTTGGCAAAAGAGATTTAAATTCTTTACTACACATTCAAGGCCAAAACTGGCTTCTTTACTGTATGCAGTTTGTGCATGAAAAACCAGAAATATACCAATATTTTTCACCAACACCACATGGCTCCTCCAGCTCCGGTCCTCTGACTCTATAGCAGTGTGGCTCCATGTAGCTTGTCAACAGGAATGTCTTGCAGAGAGAGTATGTGTCATGCCTCCAGGGAGGAAGACAGGTGTTCCCAGAATTCTCAGGGGAAGGCCATGCCCTCACAGAGGTTTAGTTGGCTATGACCTGATTGACAGGCTAGAATCCACCCCTTTCTCAAGTTGGCAGTAGATGATGTAACTGTCACAACCATAATTCGAATGCATCAACTCTTCTTTGCTATTCTATGTCCCTTCTCCAACAACCCCATACACACTAGACAGTAGAAAATGGCTATGACTTGGGGGCACTATAGTCCACAAGTCACAGTGTTTCTTTTTAACACTGTGCAAATTCCTTATGAGCATATTGAGAGCCAGGGAACATTTGTCCTTCAAGCCCATAGTCCAAGATAGTGAGAAAAAAAGAAGAAAATTCAAATCATTTGCCGTTACATTGATTCTAATTAATTATGACTTTAAATGTGACAGAATAGAAATGTGCTCCATCGAGTTTTCAATGGATGATCTTTTGGAAGTAGATTCCCAAACTTTTATTCCAAGGAGTCTCTGGATAGACTTGAACCTCTAACCTTTGGATTAATAGCCTAGGGCTTCACAGTTCACATCACTTAAAGACTTTACAGTCTAAAATGCTGGCACTTGCTATTAAGTTTATTCTGAATCATGGCTCCCCTGTATGCAGTAGAGCACTGTCCAATCCTGTGCGATCCTCACAGTCACTCTTGTGTTTGCATGTGTTGTTTCACCCACCATGTCCGTCATCTCAAGAACAACTTCCTTTTTTTGATTGAGCCTTGCCTTACCTAGTATGATGTTCTTTTCCAGGGATTGGGCTCTACTGACAACAGACTCAAAATAAGTCAGATGGAATCGAACAAGACTTGCTTTGAAGAACCATTCTGATAGTTCTTCTTTCAAGACAGATGGACACTGAAATCTGAAATACAGACGCCATCTGAGATAGAGAATGAAAATTAGACTCCCTCTACTATTTTATTTCCTTGTCCTTATTATATTCTAGCTAAAAAGGGCATATCCAAAGACAATATCTGGATTACTAGGAACAGTGTAAAAGTCTGAATGATAAAGATATTGATGAATAACAATACTCCTTATTAGAATCTCACAACTCTGTGGAAACTCGATAAGAAATTCATTATACAATGGGTTATTGACCTCTTGAGAGAAGGGAAGTCAACTCAGCTAGCCATACCTTATAACATCTCAGTTCTAATCATATTTTATTTTCCCCTTGCCTCTGACAATGCCTAGTGAACCAGCACGTCTTTGGATTTGTTTTTCCTGTTATATAACTTCGTGAGAAACCAATAAACAAAATGCCTTGAGCATCTCACAAAAACACTCTTGCCATGAATTTTGATCTTAATCTATCTGCTTTTGCTTTATCAGTACCGCTCCCACTTCTTGGTAGCCAGGCTTCTATTATGCTTTTTCTTCAGGATTATATTGGGATAGCCATGTTTCATTTCCTGTTACAATTTTTCCTAGAAATGCTTCAGGATCTTAATCCCACTTGCTTAAAAATGTCCATAGGAAGTTCTGCTCTTATCTGCCTCTGATCTATATACAATAATTTTGGTTTCCATTGAGCAGAAAGTGATTTCCACCTTACTTTTTCAGTCAGAATTGAATAAGCAGAACCAATTGAGATGTGTGTGGTTGAGTGTCCTTTCCATTGTAAATGCGAGGTGCTTTTTAATTATGCATTTATAAACTGCAATATCTTTGGCCCATTGTCACCATAAACCTTTTGTAAATCATCAATGATTACACCACTCCTCCACCCAAGCTTCACTATAAAGATGATATTTACTCTTGCTTCAATTTTAGGTGGTATCATATCACTCTTTTTGTCTCAAACTAGATCCACTTCACATGTTTTAATAAACTAGTATGAAATTATTTTAGTGTGATGTTTTTGAAATCCTGATTAGTTTACCTACAATATGTATTTCCCATGAACTTAAAAAAACCCTCTCATATCTAGTCTTTCCTAAGAAAATCGCGCACATTCTGGAAATCAGCCTGTGACTATCTTGAAATAGTATTGGGTACTAAGTTATTTCCAGTTAGAAATCAGGGGCTTGCACAGAATTTAGTACATATAGTATCTGTTAAATAACCATTCATTTAATTAATTGATAAAAATTGTCACAACAAAAATCCAACACAAATGCAATTATAACAAACTTTATTATTTAATTTGGTAGTCATGGTTATTATTATTTTTTTTTAGAAAAGTATAAAGCAAATTATTCCATTGGGTTAACAAAGTGAGGCTTTTCTCAGGTGAAGGCTACATCCAACTAACCCACACAGTTCTTACAGCGCTGCAGACCGTTCTCGTTGCAAGCAGTACACTTCAAAGCTTTGAATGAGTCCGTGAAACAGTTTCGAAATACTGACATCTTGCTCCCATGGCACACGGAGCATGGAAGAAAGCCAAAGCCTCCACAGGAAGGACACTCATGTGGATGCTGCACTCTCTGTGTAGGGTACCAAGAATGAGTCGGGGGGAAAAGAAGAAGAAAATATGTTAGCGAGAATAGCACTAGTAACCTTCCTGTTTTTCTCTATTTTGAGCATCTGTAAAATAATATCGGTATAATATGGCAAGGAACCTGAAATTTCCCACCATTGACGTATGTTGGGTGGACTAAAGGAGAGAAAAAAAGTACCAAAGTTTCCTTCGTTGCTCCATCAATGGCCATCTCTAGAGCTGGCATGGTTTGGAAAGATTGGTGCACTGTAAATTATACTTACATATTTCAAGAAACCAGTTATAAAAGTATATTTTTTATGAGCCAAATAATTCAAGACATGATCAGTTGCATTGAAAGAAAATATTTTAACTTTCCCTGTAGTATCTTGATATATATATAGTATGTATATTAAATATACATATATATTTAATAGAAAAGTACCGCTGTAGATGAGTCTTGAAAATATATAATCTAAAAATCAAAGTGTGGAGAAGCCAATATTAATACAGACCCACTTTATGGGACTTTTGAAAAATGGTTTGTTATTTCAATGCATTTCCACAAATATTACCTCAATAAATCTTCCCACATGCTATCCTCCATATATGCAGGCACTGTCATCGATAAAGCAAATAGTTCAAGCACAAGTATCTTCAAAATAGATGTTAGGAAATTGGCGTAGGAATTTTGAGGCATTTACCGAGACCATAAATGGAACTGTTCAGCTTCATTCCTGGTGCAAATATAAAATATCTCCAATAACAGAATAAAAATGAGTAGTGTGTTGTAAATAATATTTTGAAATTGTTTATAGGCATTTCTTTCTGCATTTTGACCATGTAACTTTAGCCTAAAGTCCGTTAATACGGCATTCCTCAGATGATGGATGGGTATGGGACATGAGGATAGGTTAAGAGATCTTAGGGAAAAAGATAAAGGTTTCTACTCCCATATCCGGTTACAGGCTCAGAAACTCAAAGGGACAGTTCAACCCTGCCCTGTGGGGTCGCTATGAGTTTCCATGTGCTCAATGGCAGTGAATTTTTTAAGAGGTCTTATAAAACAAATAAAAGGTCAAGATAAATACATTAATATCCTTCTGTCAAAATGGAAAATGGCAACAATATTTGAAAATTGATATTGTGAAGAAGACATTTGGTAAATTTAGAACTGAAAATATAGACACATATACACAAACACACACACTGTCCCCTGTACAGAGACAAACAAATTTACAAATGTATACAGCTTTTCAATGGAGAGTCACAATATATATATTAAAATTTCCATAGAACAAACTGAAAATATTTGTTTATCTGTGTTTAACCCACTATTTCCCAGTATATATTGTTATTGATATTTGCCACTGAGTCCATTTGAATTCATTGAAACTCCAGAAACGTTTTCCAAAAAAACCCATTATAATTAATACATGTCAAATATACTTTGGGAAACAAATGTTAGAGACATTCTAGTTTTAGAATATGTGTATTTCCAAGCCATTGGTAATTACAGTTTGGCTTAACTATTACATCAATATGGCAAAATCATGCAATATCTCATCTTGGTGACAAAGAACTACTTTGATGGAAATTATGGTAGTTGCCAATAAGTAACATAAACAAGGAACTTTACTACCAAGATTGTAGAGATCTAAACCCAAACCAACTGCACTGCCATCGAGTTGATTGCAGCACAGAGCAACCCCTTACCCCTTAGGACAGAG